CAACTTACGGGGCTGAAGGCTTCCATGTGACACTTCCGGGTATGCCCGAGCCCTAGAGGTTCCAAGGTTTTCCTGCTTCAGATAAGCAATATCAGATGATCCGTTGATCCTTAATTCAAATTACTATAAACAAGAATAGTCGGCCGCTTATGCTACCTTGCCATGTCCCTTCCTGGTCTCTTTGGACGTTCTTTTTATATGTATTTTCAGGTGTCTTTTCAGGTGTATACGAAGGCGTTTAAAAAAGCATACTTTATGCAATGGGCTTGTCTATATATAAAGTTTATCGCTAGAATGACATTCCTCCTGGGAAACATTTTGGGAGATCTGCCGCTAGTCATACATAGCACAAAATATATCGTTTCTAATTTGCCATACTGGAGAGGTGGTCGGAAGGACCCGACACTAACAATTATATTGTATGGACCCGGTAGTCAGGCTTTAAAGAAGAGAAGGAATATGATGTTGGTAATATATTTGATACTCCTGGTGAACGAAAAGCTATTCTATGTGAGACTTCAACAATGTATAACGAGTGGCTTGGTCTATGGCCCTAACCTAATGCCAGAATGTCTCACACGAAGGATTCTAGATCCCACCGCTCTTAATTAGCTGTAGTCCTTTAATATCCATTATCGTTCCCTAATGTTATTACCTAATTAAATATCTTCTACCGGGGATGCTGGACCTCCACTGGAAGGGATTGGGGTTAACTACCAGGGTACTGATACCGAGTACCCGCCTGGCGATGTGCACCATAGTATAAAACTGACTGAGCAGACTGAGAGCCACCGTTAGAGCTGATATGAGGAGGAGACTATTTTGCGCTAGAGAATTTGTTAGCTAAATCAGCTCTCTGCGGTTTGACAGAGACCGGCAACCTAGTTTACTGGAAGAAGGTGGATAGATGGTGTTGAGATGGATAAAGCTTTTGACCGAATTGTCAGAAACTGGTGGCCACGCGGGCGTATTTATTAGCGTCGGAGATACGACCGAAGACCGAACTTCCCCTCCCACATACACCGAGGCCGGGTTGTGTTCGTGTTTTATAGCTACATGCAGCTCACCGGGCCATTCACGAAATTCCGAACGGTTAGACAGAAAACATGATACTCCCTGGTCACGTTGGCCTGGCTGCTTTAGTTGCTGAGTTAGTTATATTCCCTCCTTGATGGTTTATCAGCCTATTTGACCGTATGCGATTCTTTGGGGGAAAGGAAGTCGCATCGTTCCAAACTGGTATTTCCGAGTGCGGTAATCTGAAGCAACTGCTCCTGGATGTCTTCCACGCTCCGATTAAAGGGCGCTCGATTGGCTTTTGGCCATTTTATGTACAGAATCGGTGACAAACGGGGGAGAAGACCCCAGGGGTCGCGTCGAAGTCTCCTCGAGCTGTGTGATAACTCAGAGCGTCTCGTTTGTTAGTCAGTCGATATGCATACGCCAGTGCGACCAATAAAATGGGAAGCACGCTTCTCCATGAAGTGATGGGAGGAAGCTTATTAGGAGGGAAAATGAAGACGGCTCGGCCACTTGAGTGGCCGGTACTTCTAGAGAGGATCTAGGCGCACGATGAGATCATCTCAATTTTGTAAGAAGCTGGGGCCTCGATGGACTAACCTAATGTGGCTGGAAACACATTGGCACAGTGATTGATAGAGGGACTGGAGGGATGAATGAAGGTAAAGAGGGGGTCATTAAAAGGTGAGGTCGGGACTTTTATGTCGAGAGAATTGAGGCGGAGGTTACGTGACAGCGTCGAAAAGGGCAAAACTAATCAACCTCACTGGAAGGGATTTGACAATTTGCGCTTTTCTCGGCAATGTATTCGTTCCGGAGTCCTCGTAATTCAATTCTTCACGATTCTCGTTTGGTTTTGGCCCGGGTAAGATGTGGTTTTGCGACTGAATGATGTGATATTCAGCCACCAAGATGTCATTCCTAATAAACCTTGACCCTTCTTGGCCCTAAACCTGAACCTCTCACACTACCAACAGGGAAATTGTTCTATACTAGGCTGTATGATGCAAGCCAGTGCCAAGTCTTCTCTTATCAATGAAAGCATGTTCTAGGGAAAATATCCGACGAGATTGTCGCTGCAGGGTATATAAAAAGAGCGCGGATTTTCCAAATTTATTATAGGTAGAAACGGAATTCCAGTAAGTCCCACGATTCGGTTGTAGCATCTTTGACTCATTAAAATGTCCACTTTGTACACCGTAAAGAAAGACCCGAATGAGTCCATCTCGGTTCTCCAAGGGCCAGATACGGACTCTTCTACTAGCCTGGACATCGCACCGTTGGGTCAACCAGGAGAAGAACGTCGATTTTGGTTTCAGCGAGGCAAAGGCTATAACCCTGAAGCAGTTGCGACGCAGCCATCTGTTTATGACAACCCTGATACCGCGAAGGAATATCAACCCCGAGCGGACTGGGAGAATCTTCGCCGATTCGACCCATCTGCTCGGTGGACATGGAGCGAAGAATACAAATTAATCCGAAAGATTGATCTTCGTATCATGGCATTTACTTGCCTCATGTTCATGTGTTTGGAGTTAGATCGGTCCAATCTATCCCAAGCTCTGACCGACAACATGCTTCCCGAGTTGAATATGAACACGAATGGTAAATGAAGAATCAGAGTACTTTTTTCATCCTATGATATCCCAGGGCTAACCAAAGTGCATTCTCTCTTCAGACTACAATCTCGGAAACACGGTGTTTAGGCTCGCATTCCTCTGCGCGGAGCTTCCTTCCCAACTCGTCAGTAAATGGGTTGGACCTGATCGGTGGATTCCTACCCAAATGGTTCTTTGGTCTGCAGTTGCTATGGCACAGTATGGACTGAATGGAAGAACAACATTTCTTTTGTGCCGTGCGCTGCTTGGTATTTTGCAAGGTGGATTTATCCCCGATGTAAGTTACATATGTTCTTCTTATGGGTCACTATTAACAGACTCGAAGGTGATATTGTACCTGTCCTACTTCTACAAACACCATGAGCTGTCTTTGCGACTCGGCTTCTTTTGGACTGCTTTGAACATTGCGGATATTCTTGCCGGATTTCTTGCTTTCGGATTTCTGCATCTTCGTGGTGTTCAAGGTCAATCGGGATGGCGCTGGCTGTTCTTGTTGGAGGTGAGTAGAAATGTCATATAATTTGAAACCACATGCGACTCACATCGAAGGTAGGGCCTTCTAACACTTGTATTTGGTCTATCTGCATATGTTTTGATGCCACCAGGGCCATGTCAGACTGCGAATTGGTCTCGGGGTAAATTGGGATGGTTCAGTCCGCGGTAGGTCGTCTCACCTTTCTTTCGCAAAATTTGCATCGTTGTTGATAGAATTGACAGGGAGGAAACCATCATTGTCAATCGAGTAATTCGTGATGACCCAAGTAAAGGAACCATGCACAATCGAGAGCCTATTACGCCCAAACTACTTTGGAAGAGTCTGAAGGACTATGATCTCTGGCCGATATACATCATCGGACTTACCTTCCAAACACCAGTGATACCCCCCAAGCAATATCTAACTCTTACTCTGAGGGGCCTCGGATTCGGTACCTTTGTGACAAATCTCTTGGTTATTCCTAGCGAAGTGCTGTCCATTATCTTCATTCTACTCCTCACATACGTCTCGGAAATCACAAGCCAATTAACTTTGATCTCCGTGATCGGGCAGATATGGATACTTCCCTTCTTGGTCTATTTATATGTGGCCGACATCAGTACTGCAAACAAGTGGACTGTGTGGGCGGTTATGACTGTGCTGCTGGCATATCCAAGTGGTACGCTCACCTATTCGTACCTATTGCACATTTGGCATCTTGGCTCACGAAGTCGCAGCGCATGCCATTCAAGTTAACTGGAACTCCCGCAACTCCAACACTGTCCGATCCCGTACGGTCTCGGCTGCCATATATAACATGTGTGTCCAATCATCGGCAATTATTGCTTCTAATATCTATCGCGCTGGTTGGTCATAAACTTCTTTGATTTTCCGCTTTTGTCCGACATTCTAATTTGACCCAGATGACGCTCCCCGCTACCGGAGAGGCAATGGTGCTTTAGTGGGACTTGGTGTCTCGAATATCTTCATATATTTGTTGACCAAGGTATACTATGTCTGGCGCAATCAAAGCCGCGACAAGAAATGGAATGCTATGACGGACAACGAGAAGACGAATTACTTGGCAACCACCAAGGACGAAGGAAATAAGCGATTGGATTTTCGATTCGCCCATTGATTATCTCTCTGAAAATTGGACCTTTGTCACATTTACACGTGAAAAAAGAAGGAATGGGAGGAGCCGAGTTTGGTCGGTTAGTGCATGGAAGTTACTTCGTACGGTTTTGATATCAGAACAATGAATAAATTTTGATCTCGCTTATACCGAATACTCCAATAAGGGGCTAGATAGTGTTGTGCATCCTAAGATAATACCATCCCCCTATTCGTGCGATTGATCGGACCGTCCATGGCGTGGTTGAGCATAACCCATGCATGTAATAAAATATATATTTAGCCGAAGACAATTAGAATAAGCGACCATTGCAGTTATTTTTGGATTGATCCGATTGAACAAAACTCTGGCTCTAACTCATGTAGGTATAGTGTCGTTGGTAATCAACTGTGTTGCGCAACCTGCCATAGATATGATCCCATCACAGTGAGGTTTCCAGAGGCGGGATATCAGACAAGTCCTGGGGAAAATGACGAATCTCAACTTTGACAGCACAAGTTGACTGTTATCTATTGGGATGATCAACATACAAGACGTGCTTTCACTCTAACCGTGCGACAAAAACGTTCCAGATCTGCGGGGTTGCGATAATGAGGCCTGGGCACGACAAGAAGCAGATGTCGCAAGCGGATAATCGGCATCGTCTAGTATGTGACAAGGTATAAGATGGACAGCAAAGTCTCATCTTTTACCTGCCAGTATCAACAAGTAATTCCGTCCAACAATTACTATTGTCTCCAACAACCCAACTATGGCATCCGCCGTCACCGAAACCGCACCTACGGTGATTCCCGTCATCGAGGACAAGATTACGTTGACAGGTCTCGCCCGTGAGCCTATCAAGTCCAATGGATCTCTCCATTCTTTCGAGTCCTTCGATGTAACTCCGGTCATTGGACGTGAATTCCCCAACGCCAACTTGAAGGATTTCCTGCGCGCCCCTAATTCCGATGATCTGATTCGGGAACTTGCTTTGACCAGTGAGTTATATCCGTGGTTATGCGTGGAAGATAGAGCTAACATGATATCTTAGTTTCGCAACGAGGAGTAGTCTTCTTTCGTAAGCAAGATGGATTAGACAACGAACTGCAAAAGGAGCTTGTCCAACGACTGGGTGAACTCTCCGGCAAGCCAAGCACATCCGGACTGCACATCCACCCAGTAGCAAACTCAGGTCGGGAGCACAGCGTCAAAGATGATGAGATTAGTGTGATCAGCTCCGCAAGCCGGGAAAAGCTGTACAAGGACAGGAACCCGCGAAAGCAGACCGCACGCAGGGAGTGGCACAGTGACATCACTTTTGAGCCCATTCCTAGCGATTATACTCTCTTGCGTCTCACGGAGCTTCCGAAAACCGGTGGTGGTGAGACCTCTCTACATATTCTACGAAATCCTACAGAAACACTAATCCTCTCCTAGACACCCTGTGGGCCTCAGGCTACGAGGTTTACGACCGTATATCCGAACCTTACCAGAAGTTCCTGGAGAGCTTGACCGCAACCTATGCGCAACCCGGCTTCAACGAAGTTGCCAAACGCAATGATTTCAGCATCCACCCTGGCCCTCGTGGCGCACCTGAGAATGTTGGAGAAGAGCTTATCGCCGAGCACCCTGTCATCCGCACCAACCCTGTCACCGGTTGGAAGAGTGTCTTTGCTGTCGGCACGCACGTACAGAAGGTCAACGGTGTCTCCGAGGAGGAGAGCCGCCATCTTCTTGAATGGTTTGTGACTCTTATTGTTGAGAACCACGACCTGCAGGTGCGCAATCGCTGGGAGAACCCGAACGATCTAGGTATGAACCGCCTCCAAAGAAATTTATGAATACCGTATCTGACTGTTGTTATAGCTATCTGGGACAACCGATCGGTGTACCACGCAGCAACTTGGGATTATGACGGGCTTGGTCCACGCACTGGACACCGTGCTGTTGGCCTCGGAGAGAGGCCATATCTGGATCCCAAGAGCACTGGAAGACGCGAGGCGCTGAGCAAGAGCGAATGATTTTGAACAAGTATATATGTATTGAAGACGAGATAGATAGAAAACAGAATAACGAAAGTGATCTCAATCTCCATCTTGAGTGACACTGCTGGTCTTTCAAGCTCGATAAAGCTCCAAACTGACTATTCGCCTGCCTTAACTTCAAATTATGGCAACTCTAGAAGTCAAGACCGGTCCAGGTAGTTGTTTCCTTGACTTCGAGTGTTCCTGTCAAAACAATATTTGCACTACTGTGGCCCACATGAATCCCATAAGTGCCCTTCTCACTCAGCCAGCAGCCTAAAGTCTCATCCCAGAATGAAGTTGACAGACGGTCAAGCCTCATGACAACCTCCTCGCATTGGCACGTATCAAGGAAGATCTTGGTAAAGCCCTTGAGCTCCTTCATTGGCCGTGAAACAGTATTCGTTGGGGAAGGAGATATGTAGAGTTGTACGACTGCAGCTCCTTTGAACATCCCAGTATTGTGTACGCTCAGAGTCACTGCCCTTGGCGATATAGAGAGTTCGGACAATGCGAATGTTGTGTAAGATAGCCCATGCCTATTAATTCCAGCAGGAGATTCGATTAGCAGTTGGCAAAACGGCCGAAGCAGAAGGAGCACAGAGAGACAGCATGCTTCATCTGGAAGAACTCACCCAAATGGAAATGCGACACTTTTCTTTAACTTTTCGTAATAGCGATAGCCAACGTATACACCCTCGCCGTAAACAGTGCGTCCGCGCTCGCTTTCAAAATTCAGAAAAGCTGGCGTATCTTCAATGGCATTGGGGAAAGTAACAGGAAGCTTGCCACTGGGGCTGGCATCGCCAAATAGAACATCAGCTAGTCCGGTCCCCATATAACCACCACCGTACTGTGACAACAGTTAGCCGTTAAAGCCCATATTAGGGGCATATGGAGGAAGTCTCAGGTTCACTCACCCACATGTGAACCATAGCCTTTGCCCGTGAGGCCCAAGGCTGCATGTTGATCGGCGCACCGGACTGTGTCACAATGATTGCATCGGGATTAGCATCCAGCACTGCGGCGATCAATCGATCAATTGACTCGGGTAAATCCATCGTCGGTCTGTCAAAGCCCTCGCTCTCAAATTCTTCCTGGAATGTTATGTCAGCCAACCGTGATGGAAATATGATTGCATTCATGTTGCGGGGACGTTACATCAAGTCCTACACACACTATGGTGTATTTGCACCTGGCAGCAAGGGCAGCTGCGCGAGGAATAGTCTTGTCTGGGTCTGAGACTGGCCAAACGCCAATACGGCCAGCTCCAGCACCACCATAGGCCACCACACCTTCTTTGTGGATCTTTAAAGTAGGAAGACTTCCGAATTCAACCTTGATTTTGTAGTTTTGACCCTCTTCAATATGCATCACAGCCTTCTTCTCCGTCGATCCCCTTCCAAAGAAGGAATTCCCCGGCTGCTGAGTGGTAGTGTTGTCAATGACCATTGCTCCATCAATGAAAAGACTGGCCGTGCCACAACAAGCGATGCCCCATTCATAGTCTCCAGTCTCGTCAGCACAGAATGTCCCCTCAACATCTACCCAAAATTCAGGTCCCAACTTTGCATGGGAATATTCCGTAAGGTCCCAGATCGAGTCGGTGATATCCATGATATCGACGATTTTCCGTTTCGGGGTGGACGGCGGCTCCGAAAAGAAAAACATACGAAGTCCTTTTACCAGAGCGTCGGGCGATGTGATTTGGGAGCCGAGTAATGGGAGGAAGCCCCAGGTATGGACTCCAATATCGTAATTTATTTTCGCGTCCTCGACCTGGTCCCAATTATACCGCCCTTTATGGCTGAGTCGGTTCACAATGCCTTCATAGTTCGTAACGACATGAGAGGAACTAAACTGAGCACTTCCACCACAGTATGCTCCATTCTTTAAATTGGGTCCGATGAGGGCTATTTCATCAACCTTGTTATACGAAATAGGCAGAATTCCGCTGTCATTCTTCAAGAGCACGATGCTTTCCCTGGCGAGCCGACGGTTGGTAGATCCATCCGCAGGAACGTACTGATTGGATTTGGCCGATGAGAAGGCATATTCGACTCTCTCACACCTCTTAACAAGATTCAGTACATTGCGTGCCCGAGCGTCTAGCGTCGCATGTGAGACTTTTCGAGATGAGACTGCTAGTTCAGCTAGCTTTCCCCGTAGCCTTGATGGTCCTGGCATTTCCAGGTCTAGACCAGCATTTATGGCCTCGACTGTCGAATATGTGCCATGCCTATTGTTTGGATCTCCGATTAGCGATTTCCCAACGTAATAGCAGAAATGGCAAAGTTTGACATACCAGTCACTCATAATCATTCCTTTGAACCCCCATTCCCGCCGCAGCACATCTTCCAGCAGCGCGGGACTCTCGGAGACATGTAATCCATTCACTTTGTTACAAGAAGCGATGATGACTCCCGGCTTGCTCTTTTTCAAGGCGATTTGAAACGGCAAAAGGTAAATCTCCCTTAGGGCTCGTTCAGTGATACGCACGTCAACCGCCATTCTCTCATGTTCCTGATCATTCGCGACAAAATGCCTCAAGGTCGACACAATATCCTTCGACTGAGCGCCACCAATGTAGCTACCAGCTAACTTGCCTGATAAGAGCGGGTCCTCGGCGAACGACTGGAAGTTTCGACCGCCGAGAGGCGATCGCTGGATATTGACGGTAGGACCTAACCAGATTTGCGCACCACTGGCCTTGACCTCCAATCCAATGAGCTCCCCGCCTTGCCGAACGAGTTCTCGATTCCACGTTGCCCCAAGAGCAGTGCCGCAAGGCAAAGAAACGTCGAACCCCGTGCCTCGGGCTCCATCTGAGCCATCAGTGAAGCGAATCGATGGCACGCCCAGTCGGGGAATATCATAGGTGTGCCATGCGTCCTTCCCTTAACCGTCGACTTTGTCAGTTTCAATCAGAAATCACTGATTGTATTTCTGGACAGTTACCTGAGATCAGACCGACTTTCTCAGCAACCGTCGCCTCACGGAGAACCTTATCCACGTCGAAAAGTGAACTTGGGGATTCCATTTTTACTATTCGTCAAGTAATACTAAAGGATAGTCAGTGAATTTACCGCTTTTTACTATCGTTTTAGACCAAGAGTGTTCTTAGCCACGAGAGTTTAGGGAATCAGGATTTCAAATGGGTTGGGGCCTTGCTGAAGAGGGAACGGCCTTGGGGGAGTTAACCGAATGGAACAAAGAAACAGAACTGAAAGACACTCGGAGAAGATACTCGAAGTAGAGAATTCCTGCAATCAAAGGACTGTTGGGGCTTTGATGGTTGGAGTTCCACTATTAGTGAATTCTTTGAATCAATTCAGGTGTCTGCCCAGTAACATGACATAGTCTGAACGAGAAATATCATTATTTATCTGGATAGTAGTTGCGATCATTGTGGTTTAAGTAGTGTTGAATAGAGATGCAATATCAACAGAACGGCTGTTGTGTCCGACTTAGAGACGAGAGTCCCTGGTGTTTCTTGGGCGATGTGCAGCACATGCACGCACAATAAAGTCCCAACCTCCAACGGTGACCTTGTCACCACTCTTACGTCCCTGCATTTTAACATCTAACCCATTAGCCATTGAGGGCAAGCCATCATTGCCTGGACCCAATGCATATTTTACCTCCCAGTGGCCATCGGTCCATTCTTCACGTCGCGCGCTCACCTTCTCTCCGTTGATTTGAACAGCCCGTCCCCTAAGAGCTGTTTGCCCAACCACATGAATCTGCTTTTGATGAAGGACCAAATACGAGCCCCCAATTCGCGCTAGGAACATCTTCGTGACTTGATGCTGACCCTCTTCCAAAACACCCTCATCAGACTCTAAGATCCACGAAAGGCCACGCCCTAGCCCTTTCGGTCCTTCGCGAAACGGAAGATATCTCCACACCTCTTCATAGTCCGTCATCGGTGCCCCGGGTACATCTGGTCGCGCCATGGACCCAGTCTCCAGGTCATCTCCATTGGGGAGCGGAATGAAGGGACATGGGTTGCTGATGTTGAAATTGTGGTGGGAATCTATCTCATGGGTGAACACCACGCGCCCTAAGGGATGTCAATCATTTGTTGCGTATCATCCACGGTCAGAATAATTGATTGGGATCATACGTGGGTTTTTGCCTTCCTCAATACACTCTCCCGCGAGTGCCCAATCGAGTTTACCGGATTCTTTATCGACTCGCAGGTCAACGTACCATTCTCCAACTGTTATCACCAATGTATCTGTGGTTTCAAATGGTGTTTCTGATCCCCATCGCATCGAGATACGTGTTGTCAGGCTTGATTCCAAAGCTGGCACGGATAATTTGGACATTTTGGTGATAATTGTTCAACTTGTCTGGTCCGAAGAACGGAGGATATTTTGGCAGTTCAAGGATGTATCCGTATAGGTAAAGTACATGATTCGTTTGGACATATAAATACTACAAATCGAATCTGCTGAAGATATATCTTGGACCCCCAAAGTGTCGGTTCTCCACCATCTCCAACTTCCAAGAATCGAACCCCGCTCTATGCTCTACCGAGTCTCGCTGCCGGTTGCCATTTTCGAAGATTTTGAGACAGTGACTCACTTTACTTTACTAACTTACCTAGGTATACAATTGGGAATATTCACACATTGACTCCTTATAAAGACAATAAACATATCCTTGATGTATTGTGAAATATCCATATCCTATTCTACCTGGTTCTTCTGTGTCACTGCTTGACAAATTGAAACACAATGACTTGGATCCTGATCGCTGCTTTCATAGTAGCCTTCCTTGTCTACCACATCTCTATTTCTACTTTGTTTAGCCCTCTGGCGCGAATTCCCGGTCCAAAGTCTTTTGGCCTGACCAAGTTTAAATTGGCCTACGAGGACTACAAAGGAACTCGCACCCGAAAGATCAATGCTCTCCATCAGAAATATGGACCTGTTGTTCGCATTGGCCCCAGTGAGGTGACCTTCAACAGCATCTCGGCCTTGCGTGCAATCTACGGTGCCGGAAGTGGCTTTGAGCGCACCGGCTTCTACCACATGTTTGAGGTTTATGGTCGAAAGAACATGTTTTCCTTCGCGACCGCGAAACAGCACGGAGAAAGAAAGAAGCTGTTCGCTCATGCGTACGCCAAATCTGTCATGCTCAAAGGTGAAAATGCCGAAATGGTCGAGAACAAAGTCAAGCTGTATATGGACCTTTTGGAGCGTGACGGAGGGAAAAGCGAGATATTTTCTACCTTGCACTATTTCTCCTTGGACACAATCACGGAGTTTCTTTACGGGTCTTTCGGCAAGACATCGTGTCTCGAGGGATTGGGGCAAGACCGCGCACTCATCGGAGATATCATCGATACTGCCCGTCGCAAGCTATCGTGGTATGCGGTTCATTTCCCCCACTTCACGGAATGGCTTTACTCGAGAACCGGGGTTAGTGGGTGTATTGCGAAATGGTTGTACCCGATGCAACTGCCAACGACTTACAGCGGCATCAGACTTCACGCAATGAAAGCCACTCAGAAATATGCCAGTGCTTCTGCCGAAAAAAAGAGCGCAACAGCCCTGATCTCCAAACTGTGGAGTCACCACCATTCCGAAAAACCAAATGGAATCGATGATCTGGATATCGCATCCGAATGTGCAGACCATCTTCTAGCAGGCATTGACACCACCAGTGACACGTTGATGTTCCTAATTTGGGCTCTTTCTCGGCCAGAAAATAAGGAATTCCAAGATAAACTCATCGAGGAAGTTCGAAATATCCCTGAAGGATCTCTGAATTCTGATGGCATCCCCAAGGTAGAAAGCAATGACAAGCTCCCTTACCTCGATGCAGTTATCAAAGAAACACTCCGTCTTTACGCACCTCTTCCCGGATCAGAACCACGCTCACTTCCTACGGCAGCCACAATTGATGGCTACACAATTCCGCCCCGGACAGTGGTTTCCATGGCCCCATACTCTCTCCACCGCAACCCTGAGATATTCAAGAATCCCACCAAATTCGACCCTGGTCGCTGGTTGGGATCCTCCGAAAACTCGGCCGATATGAAGAAATGGTTCTGGGCATTTTCCAGCGGAGGGAGGATGTGTATTGGCATGCAGTATGTTTCTTTCCTTCTCAATAGAGACGAGTTCCGACTTTGACTTGAGAGATGGCTAACAAAGAACAGTCTGGCAATGGCCGAAATGACAACTTTGGTCGCGGCCATTTATCGAAAATACAGAACAACACCAATGGGAGATTTCGGAACCGTCTCTCCTAGTATCACAGGTCGCTATGAAGTGTTCTACGATGACACTTGTAGTCGGATGCGGGTATGTTCAGTTAATATCTTTCTCTCGGGGACTTGCTGATTATGGATATAGGAACATGAGTGTCAGATTGAGTTCATGTCACATTGAGTAATACAAGTAGAGTGGTTGTTGTGCCACGCACTTGATTTGAACCGCATCGTATTGGAATTTTCACAGATTGGATGATACATTAGCCATATGCTTTATCAATTGAATATAAAATAAATACTTATTAGGCTCTAATCTCTAATCTCAATTGATTTGTTTCTTTCATATTGGTTACATCTCCAACCGGCCCCACGTGGAAGGAGTCTGCATGGGGAATATCTAACCGACAATAGCAAACTAGGCTGACAGGGATCTTTCACGGCTAACTACATTCAATCCGACACAGTACAACCGCCACCAAGCAAGGTGTAATGAATGGTCTTGGAAGTATCAAGGACTCAACGGATACCGCCTCCGCCAATAGAACCGATGCAATACCCTAGCGATATTTGCCCGGTCATCCGCCAACGCATACTCCTGGGCCTGTTTCAACGCCCCCTCTACTTCACCCAAACTCAATCCCCTCTCATCAAAAGCCCTCAGAACAACCTCCACAGCACCCGCATCCTGGAACTTCGCCACAACCGACAACGCTACATCACCCTGCCAAACAACTAGCGGATCCGCCCCTCGCTCCAAGAGGCGGCGCATAACGTTCTTATCGCCGTTATACGCAGCCAGGTAGAATGCAGTCCGACTCATCGAATCAGTATCATCAATCCCGCATCCTGCCACGTGCCACCCATTTGGGATGCGTTCCAAAGGTTAACCCGCTGCGCTAGGAGCAAAAGACCAGAATCCCAGGACACTTCCTGGAATTCCACTCGCATATATATATATAGGGTAGGCTGACTCGTAACACATCCCCTTGCTAAGAGGAAGTCAAGCAATTCCTCGGGGTCTTCCTCGAGTGTCGCGGCCAAATTAACCAGATACCCTGCAATAAAATCCGCATGGACATTGACGCCCATGTCTAGAAGTAGACGCACAAGCCGAATCCCGCCATGCGCCGCAAGAGTAAGGCACTGCGCTGCGATGTGCACGAAGAGATATTCAGGTGTAGTTAGCTCGAAGGGGCTCTTCCGTATTGGGGTCCGCCCGATTGGGACGATCCCAGCATCGCCGATCGGTAAACCCCGGTCGAGGAGGAGACGGAAAACTCCCTCGCCGCCGTAGAGGGCAACGTAAAAGAGCGGGGTGGGTTTCGCTCCGATTTGGTTTTCTGCGGGTATTGAGTGCATTACTAGCTCTGTTCCATTGGGGTGGTCGAGGAGGATTCGGAGGGTGTCGACATTGCCGGAATAGAGGGCGTGGATAAGGAGATTAGATTTGGGGAGGGAGTCGGTTGGGTCTGCGTTGTGTGAGAGGAGGAGGGAGAAAACCGGCGGGTTGGTGATGGCAGTCAATAGGGCTTCGCTGGGGGTGCTTTGGATTGGCGCCGTGGGCGAGAAGAGTCGTGACCGCTTCTATGTGGCCTTCATGGATTGCACGGATGAGAACGGAGGTTTCAGTGTTTGCTCCGTTGTTGTCAGGGGACATGTAGATTGGTGGGGTGATGATTGCCCCGTGGGAAATGAGGATGTCGATTGCGGCAGTTTGGTTGCGTTCTGCGGCCCAACTGAGGGCTGTTCTCGGCGGGTGGAAGGAATTGTAGGGGAGAAAGATGTGGATACGTGTATCGACAGCGACGCGCATGTTGGGGTCGTAGTTTTGTTTTGTTAGGAGCTCGGTGAGGAGGGTGATGCGGCTGGTTGGCGCGGCGACACACAGGAGGACAGCCTGTTGATAGGGTTTTGTGGAGGATTTGACGTAGTCGAATCGACTGAGGAGGAGATCGACGATGTCGTCATGTCATTATTGTGCTGCACGGGATAGTTGAAATAGTGATTTCTGGCCTTCTGGATAGGATGGGTTTGGAGTTTCCCAATGGTCGAGTATGCATCGGACGACGTCGATGTTACCGGAATGAGATGCCATGCAGAGTGACGTCCCCGCGTGCTCCGTAGCAATTTTAGGGTCTGTTCGGCGAGAGAGCAGGAATTGCACGATATCCAGGTGGCCATTCCACGCCGAAAACGCGAGAGGCGTTGCCCCGTTCCCGTCCTGTGCATTAATCGGGCTCCCCGAGTCGGATAACATGCGGACAACATCAATATGGCCATTCTTGGCCGCAAGATCGATAGGTGTTTGCTCCTCATTGTGGCCTGTGGTGAGATTCGGGCGCATGCCATATTTAAGCAGTAGGTTGACAATGGATACGTGACCATGTCACGCTGCCATGGAGAGCGGGTGGCCCTCTTCCCTGTTTTTGCGGTTTCCTTCATCAATATCGTTCTTCCAGTCGTTGTTGATGGAGTATGGATCAACGCCGTGTTCGTGCCCAACCTTACTCCGAATCCGAGGCAAACATGTCTTCAGCTTTGGGTCGTGGCTTTCGTCGTGTTTCTGGCTCCTGCTGCCCAGCTGATTGTTCGGATTTGTCAGATTGAATTGGGTTCTGAGGTCTGATTATCGCAATGTGCCCGTGAATAGCAGCCAAGGCGTTGCCACATTTCTAGGCGACAAACGTATGAGACAAAAGTCCACGCCACTAAGAATTTGTAAGTTGGAGAAATTTTTGATTTTAGATGCCCAAGTTTGGATCACTTACACACTTTGATAGGTTTCTCGGGTCCATTGGGCGTATTGTGCGAGCCAGCGTCGTCTCTAGCTAAGACACCCGAGGCAGAGACGTTTCGAGAACTTTCGAATCCTGTCAGAAAGCTGATCATACATACTCCTGGCTAGCATTCCGGGAGGACTGTTTCACGAAGAGGAGTACGTATAATGATACGTAAAGCTGACAATGTCTTTGTCAAGTATACTCAACAACGAACAACGCGAAGAGTTGCCATGGCTCGCCTCCGCACGCGGCTGGCGGAGCACCTGCTTTCAGGATGTGTCGCATGGTTGGGGCTGACCCATTAATGGCGGCCCATCCAAGAGTGTAGCCCCCATTCCTCTGGGTGATGCTCGATTGTACAGAATGGGGTTCAGCAGTGCATAGAACCGCCGAGTAGTATGACGTAAGGCGTTGATCTCATCTTCGTACCCTCGGTTGGGAGGGCAGGAGCAGAATCAGCTCGTTGGAGACATTAAGAAGGCTCATCTTCATTCTGTGTATAGATTGGAATAGAGCGTCTCTTCGCAACCTTGTCCGTTGGCGGTGAGTGTTTACCCTTTGATCTGTACTCTTTCCCGATGTCAGTGTCTTTGCTATGGAAAGGAGATCATAGGTAGTATTGAGTCATCTGCCAAGAGAGAAAGAGAGAGGGGTGGAGGGGAGAGGAAGAGAGTGACAGTGAGAGTGAGAGTGAGAGAGAGAGTGAGAGATCAAACAGGTACATAGGGAGTAAGGTCCTGTCCACCCAAGGTAGAAACGAATCTCCATCGTTCAATGCCTAGGTATATTTACCGAAACTGAGGGAAAAGTAAATTGTTCAATAGAGCCAAAATATGTATAGGAAGCAAAATATATGGTTGTAGAATGATGAAATCACCTCCCCAAAGCCCTTTCATGCTGCGTGCAGGTGGATAAAGAGAGGTTGTGCCCAAGGCCTCCGCCAAGAGAAAATTGATGCCTTCTGCCTTCACTTCAGTTTTAAATCCAACTTAAGAAAGAAATTTAAGTCTTTGTACCAAAAATTATAGACTCCTCAAATTATCTGGGATGCATCCTCGTTTACCAAGACTTATAGTGGCCAGGGTTCAAACCCCCTTTTGTAGGTGGGAGTTGATGCCCCGGTGCCTTATTTAACTCCGCTTTTAACACCGCTCTATACAGTGTATGATAAATTTATTGATACTACAGCTGTCAAAAATGGAGCTTCAAATGTTTGCCGCTAGGAAGCGAAGATTCGCTACGTCCACGAGTGACGTACGTCAAATGTTTGGTTCGTTCAGCACCGAGCTTGACGAGGACTGCGATTACGTCGAGGCAATCGCTGAAAAGCGAGCAACCATCAACAGCATCGCGGCTGGGCTAGACTCTCCCGATATGCAAAGAGCTCTGCGTCTGAACGAGGAGATGATAGACCACCGCCTGGAGTACGACAACATGTTGAGCATTATATCTGATCGTCCCGCACACAAAGGGAGGAATGGCATAAGCGGGCTGTGGGAGGAGCTTTACGAACGGTCACCGAGGACGACGTGGCAGACGTCGCTTCAGACGCAGACGCAGAGGATGCGACGAACTAGCATGCGACAACAGCACTTCCCCCCTATGTTTATCAACAGAACTATCAGCACTTTCCCCTAATTTCTGATTTGCCCACATGTATCTATCCACTGCAGTCAGCCGAGATCGGCAGAAGGAGCGGCAGATGTGACGTCATTGTCGGTCACCTGACCTAGCTAGGACCGTACCTAGTATAATGGATCATCTCTATCTTCCCCTTTGCTTTCGGCTTACAATCTGCACACAAATAGCAGCATCTCCATATTTTTGGACAAGTTTGCAAGTGTCAAAAAATGAAGAGGATTTGACAGATCATGGCTTTGTCTATGTATGGAGGAATTGATTTAAATGAAGATAAAAGACTTCATTTTTGACACTTGCAAACCACAAGAGTGGAAGGCCCCAGGTTCTGCCAGCTGGATATCCACCAATAAAAGCTAAGGGGTAAAGGGCGGTATGATTAATTGAGAAGGCGGTAGCAGGACCTCGGGAGGGTATTAACACTTTTGCAGTATGATTACTAAGGCATCTGTAATAGAAATTCAGGTATTTTAATTTTCTACTGTTCGAAAGTCAGGCATTCAGGCATCAAATCATCTATAAAGGGGGTTTTGAACCCTGGCCGCTATAGTCTGGGTACCTCGTTTAGCTCGTTCTCTGAAGGCCAAGGCCGATTCGGGGTTAGAGACGTTTGATTGAATACACCGAGGAGGTATGAGATCTAACTAAGAAAGTAGATAGTTAGTTAGTTAGTGAATATTAAACAGTGAATAGTAAATATTTGACACAAAAAAAAGATCAACTACATAGTAGATCTATAATCTATTCGTACGCAGTGAAAAATGTATAGGGCAGAGGACACCCCCGATAACGGCCCCGCATGAATAGTTATGGAAAGAGTCTGCGAGACAACAATGCTCATCAATCAGATTTGTATGTTGTAGTACTTGTAGATTTATTTTATTTGGTAATGAGATAGTCCATAGCTGGTTCTATGTAGAGAGTTAAGGCTATAAAAGACCAATGATCACCCCGATTCCCACTCTTACTCTTGATACCCAACTAACTTGTCGAATAATCTTCAAAAATGCGCTTCACAACTTCCATATTCTCTCTTCTCCTGCAGGGCGCCATTGCTTTAAATGTCGGCCCTGAATATAGTCACCCGATAGAAGGTCAGTCATACAAGACAAACCCTAACATCAACATACTAACAGACAATAGATCTTGACGTCGATCTTCCATTTTCTCAGCCCGTTACATTTGCCCATTTGGAATGGCAAAGATGTCTTGCAGAATCTCACAATAAGGTATGTTGCAACCGAAGGATATGTTTACCTAATCCCTCCATAGAGATCTAACCTTCGGAAAAGCCTCTCGACATCGCCATTCTCGGCTTCCCCTACGACACCTCAACCTCATACCGCCCCGGCGCAAGATTCGGCCCTCGGGGAATTCGCGCAGGATCGGCGCGCGAAAAGAAGGGTCGCAGCTATAACACCGTGTGGGAGGTAGACCCATACGACGAGGGTCTTGAAATTGTAAGTGCAGCACAATTACAACCATGAGAAGCAATGTCAGGATCGCTAATACATTACAAGATTGACTGTGGAGATATCCCTATCACCCCATTCGATGCCGCGCACGCTTTCAAGCAAATGGAACAGGGTTACAGACAGGTTCTCTACCACCCGACCTCCGAGGAGAGCTTATGGGAACATCCTCGGATTGTGAGTCTGGGTGGCGACCACTCGATTGTCTTGCCTATCTTGCGCTCGTTGAAACATGTGTACGGGCCCATCTCTGTTATTCACTTGGATTCGCACCTCGACACTTGGGATCCTTATGAGGGGTACACTGGAATCGCGTCTAACCAGTCCGCAATCACACATGGAACTTTCTTCTGGCATGCGAGTCGGGAGGGTTGTATTTCCAAGGGAACAAGTGTGCATGGAGGTCTGAGGACGAAGCTTTTCGTAAGTAGTGATTTGCCTCTTCTCGTGAATCAATCCTGATCCAAGTTATCAACAGAGTCCTAAGGATTATGAGATCGACCAGAATGTTGGATTTACGATTATCGAGGCCCACGAGATTGACGACATTGGCATGTCTGGTATCATTGACAAGGTGCAGAGTGTTGTCGGAGATACTCCGACTTATCTTTCCATTGATATTGACGGTAAGATTTGAGCGCTTCCCTGCTCAAGACACATCAGAGACTAATTCCTTCGATCAGTCCTTGATCCCAGTATCGCTCCTGCAACCGGAACTCCCGAATCGGGCGGCTGGACCACTCGTGAGCTGAAACGCTTCATTAAAGGCCTCGAGGGTATCAACCTTGTTGGTGCCGATGTGGTGGAAGTCAGTCCCCCTTACGACACCGTTGCTGAAACTACTTCGATCGCCGCTGCAGATTTGATCGTTGATATTCTGGCATCCATGGCGAAGTTGAAGGCAGGTCCCAAGGCGAAGACGCCAACCTCAAAGGATGAGTTGTGAAAAGAGCCTGGATCATGTTTCGAACTTCAAGATTTCAACTATGTATGAATCACGCTATATGAGACTTTCAAATAGGCAAGACCAACTTGCCTGATTGTTTGAGGGCATCCCTCCAGTTAACCACATTCTCGTCTGAATTCATGATACTCCAAATTTCCTGTATAACTTTCCATTGTCTTTTGAAATTGCCCATTGAGTAACCCTGGACTCGCTCCCACCATGCAACCCAAGGCTGTCGATCGGTTGCCTCGCATGCAGCGATAAATGCTGGCCAGGACATAGGAGCTGCCCGTTTGTCGCCATGGGAGTATGCGTCTTTCAGGTCTTCGGCCAGCGAGAGGTTCTTCCAAATTGATCTTACTCGCTCTTGGAGGTCCACCGGACTGCAGTTTTCGATTGCTCGATAATAAAAGATTGCGATCGCGCTATGGAATGCTAGGGCTTGGTAACGTATTATCTCAAGCATCGTCGGCTCTTCCAATGTAATGAGATGGAAAGACTCTGACTCTATGTCCCACGAAAAGATTTCATCGTATAGTGCCGAGCATGCCTCGAGGATAACTGCTGGCATTTCACCATCCTGGTAGAAAGCTAGATACTCGGCCACCTGACAGGTCTTTTGTAACAGATTTCCCAAATATGGGGTGATCCCATACATGTATTGGATGTTGGTGTCGTCGGCGTGGAAGTAAGGCTCCTCGAAGAATGGACCTTCTGTTGCCCAGGGTCTAGGTTCTAGTTCATGTGCGGTCGTCCGAGCAAGGAGACTTAGAAAATGGCAAATACTGCTGACCTGCCGGCTGGAGTCATTGAGCGCATCGGAAGCATGGCTGGGTCTTTGCAGCTGGCCACAACCCTTCAGATGAATTGGAAAGTCTGAATCCTCCCCCGTCATAGTCTAATTTGTTAGATTCGAAATCATTCCATAATATGGAGTGAAAAGCAACCTACATCGATCGTGACTAAGGAGAGCATCGCTGTGAGATAGACGGTATATTGGTGGGAATTATTGGGCGCTACGAGTGCAAACTTGAGTGCCCGCAAAGATTTAGCGCGGTGCTGAAGTCCGAGGTTGTGGTATTCCCTTGATCCACCCATGACGTTCCGGAGGTGAAATGCAGCCGATGATAATATACTGTGGAATAGTGAAATTGAGACACCTGAGGAAGGCATTGAATTTTTGCCAAGGCATAAATCAGGGCATCCCTCGAGGGCGAATGGGAGGTATGTCGTGCGCCAAGGGTTCCTCGGATGGAAGACTGGTTGCAGGAGCTCGGCGACATGGTTTTTGTAGTGATACATGAGCGTGGATGTTTTGTGGTCTTTGAATAGAGGCATTGGAAGCTCGCTACGTGGTGATGGATATATCGTGAGCGACCTTTCTCTTGGGTATGATAATGTTGGCGAATTTGGTGTATCCATCATAGCTATCACTGACTCCCAGTTTGAGGAGGAATCCATTTCGAGCATTCCTGTATGAGGAATATCATTATCGTTCGGAATTAGTTCAAAGGTTCCACTGGACAGGCCGACTGGGTCAAATTGACCAGGAGTGATCTCAGAATCACAACCCTGTGTCTCATGACTATTCTCCAATGAAGTGTGGGGTTCAAGGTCTTCATTATCGCCATCTCCTGATTTGGAAAATATTGCAAAGGGTCCTACACAGATGGTGCGCGACGGTGTTGAAATTGTGTCAAGGGAAGATAGAATTCGGTTGATCTCGTTATCCGAAATGCATGGAGAGGTGGATTGTTCTAATCAAGAATTAGTATTCGCGAATATGGCTTTGAAAGAGGGCCGAGCCTCACCTAGTCTGATCTGCCTGCGTCGTAGGCCTTGAACATCTCGCTTCTTATCTGCCATCCAGCATAGATTTACACCGTAGCCGGCGCATTCCAGTCCGGATTTCTGGCAGACTCCACATCCATTTCGTTGACGCTCGTCACATTTAACCTTCCGAGACCTGCAGGTCCAGCACCTGTTCTTGTCAGCTTCAAGGGTCTATATGAGGTTGAATATACCGGATGTATTGATTACCCTGTGAATGTGACCGACTTCTGCTTTGTCTGGCGGAGACGCTTGGTTTGTTTTCTAGGGGCTTTCATCGGGCCAGCCATGGTATCCTTGATATAGGGCTGTTTCTCAATATGAGCCATGACAGTGGCCTTTGGTGGTTGCGAGAGGGACTATCAACAGAACAGCGTCACTCTGGGTGCAATTGGAGTAACGCCAAGGCAAGAGGTCAAGACCCTTCATGTCAAGCTCAACGGTACTTCTCAATGGTGGAGCTAACTTCAGATACGTGCGGGGTCAGTCGAAGCCAATAGTTACAAGGGATAGGGATAGCCGAGGAGATGGACTCATGGTGCAGTGATATCAGCTCTCAGTCCATCGAATGCGGGGGATCTCAATGTTTTGATTCCATGACACAATACATTTGGGGAATTTGGGGAATTTGGGGAATTTGGGGTTTCTTATCGTCGCCTTATCTATATTCCTTATCTTATCTTATCTCCAATAAGCGGGGCTACTCGGCTATTTGGAAAAGGAAGGAGCCAGCGAGACTACAACATATACAACATACTATGTAACATATACTATTTACGACGGATGTCTACGGTGAATCATTGTTATTTCAGGATATCATTTCCAAAAACCATGCTTCCAGTCATGGAACAGTTCCCTGCTACGGCGAATGCCCACTCAAGGCCATTCAGCCAGCCTGCGAACCAACCACACAATCTGCCATAACGAGGACCAGCGGTTATAGTAGCCCAGTGGTAAACTCCCTGGATTCTGGAATGGTAGAAGCAAGGTCGGCAATTGAGACAGCAATGAAGCAATAGAAAAAGGAGGTAGTGGCGCTATTCTAGCAGTTAGCACCAGATTCCGAGAAAGCTCCGTAAGCTGCGGAGACCTACAACTCGGATCTTCTATTCGCTACCTGTTACCGCATCTGGATATGCTCGCGGGTCTTTGATATTTCCCCGCAAAACCAAGATATTATCACTGCCCCAGTCAAGTTCATATATTCCAAGCCATTCACAAATATAGAGCAGCACCCATCCAACTTACCCTTGGGTTCCTATCTTCAAGATCAAATCCCACGGAAACTTCCGCAGACATGACATCTTGTCTCAGCAACCAATCTATCATAATTACAGGGGCCTCTGTACCACTTGCAGAGGCCTTTAGCGCTTGTTACTCAGGTGTGCTTGGCTTCTCAATGGACGAAAATATATAACCTAACATCTGTCAAGGTTCCAAGGACAAGATTATCGCGCTCAACCTGGATCCTCTTATATCGAGCAATTTGGCCGAAGCCCAGGCTCAGATAAACACCGCTTTTAGTGCTCTGAGTGACCAAGTCGATGTTTTCATTATCGACGCCAGAACTCAGGAGCCCTCTGGACAAGACGCCATTTGGGAGATTCCGTTGAGTGAATGGGATCAAGGACACACGCCCATGAGCTGTCAGAAAAGGATGTTGGTACACGCAAAGTTATTCCTTCAGCATCAATTCCAGGTCAACAAGACGAAGTCCCATGCGAATCAATCAGGGAACGGTTTCTCTATTGTGGTCCTCGGTTATCACGATCTCTTCGGTGTTTCGCTCGATCCTATTATTTCTAAGCTCCAAAGGGATGTCTCACGGCTTCACCCAGATGCTTCCTTCAACTTTCTTGATCTTAGCACCTCATGCGAGGCCTCTACCCAGTCAATCGCCGCGGCAACAGCGATACTTGTTTCGGCAAAACCTGCCCGTGGCATCATTTCACTCGGCAATATCGCGAATGTAAAAAGCACCGAGAGGAATATAAATAAGAACTCCGTTACTCAGAACACCCAGCTTCATCAAAGTATCTCGCTGAACCCGAAGCACCCAAAGGTCAAAATTGCTATGTCATTTGACTTTGACGCCGTCTCTGCCTTCCTGGGAACAAGTGATCATCCAGACAACAACTTGGCAGACTACAGCACAGGCATATTCGCCGGTCGAGTTGGTGCCAACCGGATACTACACATGTTACAAAAACACCAAATAGCCGACAAAGTCACCTGGTTCATTCCCGGACACACGATGGAGACCTTCGAACCAACCGTCAAGGAGATTATCAAGTCCGGCGCCGAGATCGGACTTCATGGGTATTCGCACGAAGGTGCCTACCAAATGACACCAACGCAAGAGCGCGACGTGCTAGTGAAGTGCATGGAAGTGTCGCAGCGGCTAACCGGGAAAAGAGTGCGAGGCTATCGCGCGCCCATGTACCAGCTCCGCGAAACAACAATCGAGCTTCTGAGAGAGTTTGAATTCCTATACGACTCGTCTCTGAGCCACCATGACTCACAGCCATATTTCACACCAAGTGATCCGCCAATCGAGCGAGTGGACTTCTCCCAACCGGCTAGCACTTGGTTGCGTCCCACGTCGCTTGCTGCTGCAGGTGCGCGCCCTGCTGGCCATCCACTTGTGGAAATCCCTACTGGCTGGAATAATGAAGATATGATGGCGTTGCAGTACTTCCCACATCTCGATAACAGCCATGGGCATGTTGATGCACGGGTGGTTGAGCAGAGATGGAAGGACATGTTCTTGTGGCTGTGGGAAAATGCCCATGTTGATGGAGGGGATGGAAGCTTTGTCTTCCCCATCTTGATGCACCCCGATACCAGTGGGATGACCCATGTGATAGGGATGGTTGATCGATTTGTCGGGTGGCTTCGGGGATGGGGTGATGCGGTTGAATTCCGCACTTTTGAGAGTATCACACAGGAGTGGTTAGACGAGCAACTGAAGGCTAAATAAATTCCGTAGATTGATTGATCCATAAGGAATATATTTGTTTTTCTAAGAGATTCAACAGTGTATTTGATTTATGGGAAGCCATACTTTGTTCAAGCATATCCCCGTCCATTACATCGTGACCCACTACATACTTATACTCCTACGTATATGAAACTTGACCCCAGGATCAACGTTCAAAGAGTCAAAGATGTAAGATAAGATGATATCTTTATAGAAACACTATGATTGGCTGACAAGCACATAGCTCGCTGGCTGTTTCCTCATTCAAGACAAGCATAAACATACTACCCTTACAGTCTATATAAATATCCATATGGTTGACCCAACAAAAGTATAACACCAACGGTCTTCACTTTATTATCCAGAGATATCCTACATAATGCACCTTGCTATTCCTCCGTCTCCTGTTCGCAATCCCGAAAAAGGATTCAAAACATGCCCTAAGAAGACACGAACTGAGTCAGTCTCAACAAATGAGTCCGAATCTATACAGACGCCTTCTAAAGGATCGTCAAAAAGGTCATTTCGAAGATCCATTATCAATGGTAAGTCATATATGGGTCATCTCTCTTCCTGCGCTTACGGTATCATAGCTTTTGCTGCTCGCACCTGACCTCGAACACCTATGGTATTGGCCAGACCATCATAGTCTTTGATTGATTTGCTTTTCTTGTTATATACCTAGGCTGCTACTATACCCTATTGCTCTCTCGATGTTGCTGCTTTTTCATTGGTTTCTCTTTCGACAAGCCGCTATCATGTTCGTTCATATATAATCTACAATCTTCTCTATTTGAAACAAGATCTACGTCCCACAATTAGTGATTGTTAATACTATTTCCATCTTCAATTGCGGACTTACCTTCTCAATATATCGCACGCCAACTAAAATCCCGTCCTTCATCTCGCGGGGTATAGTGAAATCGATGCGAAGAAGATACAAACATCCTTGAAACTGCAAATTTCACTCATCTCAGATCTGAAGCCACCAAGATCCGCCAAGCATTAACTCATACTGCACAACTGGAGTATAAACAGGCAGTCTTTGAATTTCGGGATGTTTGGTCGATGCGTTGGCTAGCATTGAAAGGGAGAACGGATACTTGTCGTCTGATACGGGAATGCCAATATCCCGTCTGTTTGCATCTCCCCTGTCTGTGGTCCTCGGGAAGAATGTCACGACTTTGGACGTTAACTCGCCAGTTGGGGAAGGTGCATGGGCCGAATTCCAAATAGGAAGCTACAAACCCATAGGAGGCGTAAGAGGCAAGCATTCTTGGAATACTAGGCTTACTTCTTTGTCGCCAATAGAGAAAGAAAATCAGAACCCTACTCAAATCACAGAATACCAAAGGAATAAGTAGAAACAGTCAAAAACAACCGGTATTGATAGCTGTTGAAGCTCGTAAAAGCCGAATGCAAACTATTGACATCGTAGGACGATAAATCACAATTCCCAGGTGAGAATGCAATGATACAAGACAATGCGATTCTTAAAGAAGGCCAGGAGGAATCGCATTCGGCGAGAGGTTCTTTTGGTTCGTCCGCTCGAGAGTCGGGACTGTGACAGCGCCCTTAGCAGAGTCAGCTGCCTGGTCACTGATGGCCGAAGGCTTGGGCGATAGGCCCGGTGTGCGGTCGCCCTTGCCCTGGCGCTGAATGAGGCCGTTGGTGATGCCGAGCACTGAGTCGACAATCACGGCGTCGATGCCTTCCGCGACTTGGTGCTATACAAATAACATGGTCAGATGGTTGTTCGGGGTTTCTAGGAATATGAAAAGGAATGAAAAGGGAGTGAATAAATAACTACTTACGTCGACGTTATTGCCATCGTTGTTGAGCGTTCCGTAGGAGACACACACGAGACCAGACTCCTTAACAATGCGGACCAGCCGCGGGCAGAGGACTAGTGGTTCAGCCTGCGTAACGATTCCAAGGAGATTCCACCGGGAGGCGAACCGAATAGCCTCCTGCAAGCTGCTGGCACGAATGTCACCGACCGGAGAGGCGCCCGCGTCGCTCAGGAAGAGAACGGGGATGGAAGGCTGCTTGAAAGACAACAACAGACAGATATCTGGGTTGAAGCTGGAGAACAGCATGTCGCGGCCGCCTCCCAGATCGTAGACCGTCTTTAGGATGGTGTCGACGAAGGAATTCAGTTCTACGGCGTATGTGTCCATTTCTTCCTCCTCGCTCTCGTGGAGCATGGGATATTCTAGCGACCTAGGTTAGATCGACGGAATAGCTGTTCTTTTGGAAGCGGTAGTAACTCACTCAATTCTATGTTAAATCCAACGGGTTTCGGGATCTTCGTAAACAGTTCCTCCAACGTGGCGAATGGTGCCTGGATGTGCTCGCCGCGGGTGTTACCCTTGAATCCTTTCTTCTTGAAGTCGCGCGTGTGTTTGATCTTCTCAGTCAATTCGGCGGGGTCGTACTCGGAGCCACCGACAGACATTGAGCGCTGGCGCGGACCATCCCCAGATACCTCGCCGGATTTCACGGGTCCGGGCAAGGCATGGCGGTAACGTCCGATGCCCAACTCGAGGAATTGATCGAGTGTCATGGTATGAACAGGCGCATCCATACCCGTCTCGCTGACCAGGAAGTCGTGGTAGATGACAGGCACATGGTCTTTCGTGAGCTGTACATCGAACTCAACATATGAGGCGCCCAGGTTGGCCGCAGCGATAAAGGACTCCACAGTATTCTCGCCCAACTGCAATGAATTGCGGCTAGCCATGTTCTTACCTAGCCCGCGGTGTCCAATGACCATGGTTGAGGTCATCGAGCGCCAGTAGGTCTGGTTTCCAGCAATAGACATTTTCGGGTGCTTGAAGGGGGTGATGACAAGGAAGTTGAATGTCACAGACCCGATCACCTCAAGGGTATTCGCGGCAACAATGGGAACGGTGGAATCACCCTTAAGGTTGATTCGGTGCGACCCCACAGTGGGCTTGATGCTAGAAAGCAGAGCGACACCCCGGCCAACGATATTCTCCTTCGATCCTGCGTAGGTGGGGACAAGGTCGAAAAGTAGACGCACTTTGCTAGGATCGGTAGTGTGGAAGACAATTGGCTCGGTGGAGATATTGTCTTGCACAGGCAAGTCAATCACCTCCGGCTCACCGTGTGCACCGCTAGCTGTTATCACCATCGATAAAGATGTGTCTAGCTGGGTGGCGTGTGCATTCTCCATGGGAATGCGGTCAAGGCTGACTGTCTCAAGCGGCTTGCGCATGTCCATAGTTCCCAGACTGACCAAGATCATGCTCTCATCGGTGAGATACCTGTGTCCAAAAGTCTTGATGGGTTCAGTAGTCCGCACGCCAGAACCCCCAGAAGTTGGGCCGGGCACATTAGACCGGCGATCAGTGAGGGACGTCGGAGGCGAGGAGGACTCGGAACCAGGGAGGTCTGGAGTGGACGACGAAAAATCGAGCTCAGTGGCAGGAGGGCCGGGGCTAACTTCTGCCAAGCACCGAGCAATGTCAAGATGGCCGCGGAGGGCCGCGTGCTCCTTAGCCGTCCAGCCAGAGGAATCGAAACGATCCACGTCTGCACCAGCGGAGATTAGCATTTTAGCCACGCTCAGGCATCCGTCCACACAGGCAATGAAGAGTGGTGTCCAGCTATATGTGTTTTCGGCCAATTCTGTGTCTGCCTTCTGGTCTTCGCTGCCATCCAGCAGAATTTGTGCACACTGGTCATGGCAAAATCGGGCGGCAACATGCAACGCAGTCTCACCCTGTTCATCCTGGTAATTGATATCCACGCCGGCATCCACCAGAAGCTGCACAATATCAATGAAGTTGGCCTTGGTCGCTAGTGCCAATACTGCACTGGACTTGGGGACCTGTTTTCTTATGATACTTCGTTCCGGCGAGGGATCATTGTCCCTTTCGGCATCCAAGAGACACCGGGTGGTTTTCGGGTGGCCACCTACAACACTCAAATGAAGCGGAGCCCAGCCGTCATTATCCTGCCAGAGAGGACCGTCGATCCCATCGCTGACATCGAACATGTCCCATTCTATGAGATGCTCAATGATCACTTCACACACGACTTTAAACCCATACTGGGCCGCGTAGTGCAGTGGAGTACGACCAGAAAGGTCCTTGGCCATCAAAGACTCACGCTGGTCAGCGCGCAGCGAGTCCAGTAGGAACTGGAAGTGAGTAACAGCAGAATCATCGCGAGCCAGCTGCTGGGGCATGTGCTCCTCCTTGACCACAGGACGCGGCGGTTGGAGGGTCGGAGGTGCCGCGGGCGTAATGTAGCGGGTAGTCTCTGGAGGGAAGTTGAGCACCATCGACGCCGCTGACTCAGAGTCAGTCGTGGGCTGCTCACGACCGATGGAGATAACCACACGGTGAAGGCAGTTACGTTTGTTGATATCATCGTCCTCTTCCAGAGTGTCCACACGGGTCAGGAGAAGAGTCAGAACTGCGCGGGCACGATGAAGGATAGCGCGCTGAATCAGGGTTCTAAGAACTCTAGGATAAACAGTCTCTCCGGCTTCATCTGCAGTAACCTTCAAGGTCTCGAGTAATTCGAGCAAGACATGAGTGTCATCCTTGCGTAGCGCGTCATCCACGGCGGTGACAATGCTGGTGGGCAGGTTGAGATAAGGCCTAGCTGAGCCACGCTTCAATGAAAGGGAAGAATGAGTGGAGCTCGCGTCATCGGACGCCTTATCGTCCGCCTTGGACTGGTCGGTAATAATGGCCATCCAAGCATTGATGCGATCCTGAGACCGGAAAACGCGTTCATTCGAGGCGAATGGAGTGGGATCGACCTTTGTCTCTAGATAACGTTTCTGCGCTTGCGCCCCAACCTTCTTGTCCAACTTCTTGGTGATCTTGACGAAGCCACGGCGATTGACTTCACCATACCATTGTAAGCGGCGCAAGTGGTAGCGCAGATCCAAAAGGGCCTCGCGCAGGTCATGACGATCCTCGGGTTCGAGAGGATGACGACCCTCCATGGAATAACCATAGCGCTCCTCGAGCAGTTTCAAGCGGCGCGCAAACTCGGCATATTTCTTGTTGTAGAAATAGTCGACATCTTCAACATTTCGGTCGAGGTTATAGAAGAAACCTATAAACACAAACACAACGACCCGGTCAGAAGGGTGGTCCCCAATGGTTCAAAACGATATATCCAAGGTAACAAAGCACTCGACTCACCAGCCAAATCCGGATCTTGTCCCGCTCTGATCTGCTCAGCAGCAGACTTGATAAGCTTCTTCAGAGCCTTGTACTTGATGTAGGAGGTGCTCCATTCGGGAACCGTGAATTGCGACAAATTCCGGCCGAACTTCATACTGGCGAGAGCAAAAATTCCACTAGAATTCAGTGCCCAACCACGATCCTTTCAAAATCCACACTTCTGCAATTTCCAACTGTATGCGGGGTCTCCAATTCGGAGGAAATTCGTGGCGAGTTCAACCTGAGTGTCACGAGGAAGCGATCAGGTGAGCGGGCGAACGCAGACAATGGAGGAAATGAACCACGCCATTGAGATGTGTATGGTGGATGGAATAAGGAGAAAGTGGGAAGGTAAAAGGACAGAAAGACAAGGAAACAAAGCTCCAACACCTGACTGTACCTGTCTAAGAGTGGGGGGATATGGGAGGGATACTTTTGCACACCTAGAGAATAAGGATAAGGATAGGTCGAGAGAAGTAAAGAGGAAGAAGGTGTTAACCTTTGGAAGCTCAGGAAGGCGAACCGGTTAGAGGTGTGCGCGATGGACTGAAGTTGATTTGTCGACCCACGGAGGGCCTTTCCACGGTACGGTCTTATATATTATCCGCCAAGCTAACCTTGAAAGTGAATATTTGTATACCCAGATACAGAGTACTACAAAATAATATTGGACTAGTAACTTTCACTTTCAAATTTGCGGTGTGGGAAGGGGCTTCCGGAAGCTCACAAGTGTGGATTTACTGTCCCACGTCATACGAATGAGAGACCCCAGAGAGAGAGAGACGATCCCACTATTTAGCCCCCACATGCTGCAGCACATGGGATCGGCATCTAGTCATATCTGTAGTTCATTGTCCGATTTGTCCGATGAACCCCAGATCCCCATATGAAAAAGAACAGTTCCGTGACTTTTCAAGCCAGAAATAGATCAAATAACCGAAATGTATCCAAAAATGTCGGTGAAGTTCCTTGAGGCTTGAATGGTTCAAAGTTCCAAGGATCCAACCTTGGACCTGGGAATACGGAGCAGACCCCGTGACCCCGTGACCCCGTGACCCTACACTGTGGAACTATAGGAGCGCCACCGCCTAGGTGACACTAATTGGGAATCATATTGATAGTCAGATGCTCAAGTCAAAATTTGGGGGTCAAAACCGAGCCATTCACAATTCTATGTCAAAAGCTAGTATGCAACCCATTGATTGCACTCTGTGCGCCAAATTCCATAGATCGGACGCCTCCCTTGGGCGTCCTAAGAAAAAAAGCAATCGCTAAATCCGTCGCTGTGCTCATGGTCAGGAGGTCATCTCGGAAACTCATTAGAAAAAAAGCATGAAAAAAAATAAAACCAAAAAAATCCCAAAAACTCCACTGGATCAGCCAGTCCATCCCAAAGCTACATGCAAATGGAAAATGTAAAAAAAGGAGTCTGTGTGGCATATGACAGGCATCGAACGGTCATGCCTGTCGTTAGATCAGCGGCTTCAAGGCCTCTACTCCAGCCTGTAGCACTGCTTGGTTCTTCGTTTTCTTGAGACACGCAGTGAGGACAGCAATTCCTCCTGCGGCGCGAAGGGCAGCTTTGGCGCGGGTTCCGATGTCACCTGTCGCAATGCAAGTAAAATTTCGCACACAGACCACACCTCGGTGAACCAAAGCATCGTCATCCTCCTGGCACAATCCCAATAGCAGTTCAACTCCCCGTGGTCGGTCTAGGACAGCTGCTATGGCGGCATCGAACTCCGTCAACATCGCAAGAGCCCCACCAGCAGCCCGCCGCGTCGGAGCATCATCAGCATCAGTCAGAGCCAGTAGGATGTGAAGGCGCTGGGCCGCTTGCTTGGAGCCATCCGCGAACTTGATAACACCGGACTCGCAAGTCATCAGATTACAGACGAGTTCGCAGGCAGCTCGTTGAACCCGAGCATTGCTGGACAAAAGGAGATCTTCCACTGAGGACCAGCCTTCCCGGACCGTGAGTTCGGGTGCGGAGTCGTCATGCGGGTACGAAGCGAGGTTCGTCAGAGCCAGAAGACTTTCAAACACTGGGAGGAGGTCGCGGGGTTGGTCGGCGGAGAACGAGGCAGTGTCGGGTGATGAAAGGAGAGAGAGAAGGGGACGGATGGCGGATGTAACCTGGGGAAATCCAGATGATGGGAAAACGTGTGAAGGATCAACGGAGATGAGGATGCGGGCCAGCGCATGGGATGCGATGCGTGTCGTTTCGTTCGTCACAGGGCCAGAGCTACTCTGCTTCGGGGCTGCAAGGCCAAGTAACAGCTTCACCGCACCTTGCTGGGCCAGTGTCCCACGGGACTTTTGAGGCCTTGTCAAGGATAGTAGAATCTTTGCCGTCAGCTCATTGGTGGAAGGCAGAGAGATTCGGCCGCACTCAACGAGCAGAGTCATGATGCCTGCGTCGATAACGGAGGCACATCGTGCCAGAACAGCTTCCTCTTCATCCCGAATATCTATTTCTGGTGCTGCCTTCACCTTCCCGGTGGATGGGTCCGCGTACTCCTTCAGCTGTGCCATCTTCTTTTGCTCTTCGGATAGGTTGGGTAAGAATTTGGTCAGGTTTAAAATTACCATCAAGCCGCCATAGAGTACGGATGAGTCGCTGGTGTTCTGTTTCATAGCCGCAATGAAGTTTCGTAAGAAACACGGATCATTGGCAAGTTGATCCTTGGCGGACGGCTTCACCGAAGTATAAGCCAATCCTTCGATTGCGTGGGAGTTGTGTTCAACCTTTTGTTCAGCCATCAGTCCCATGAATCGATGAACTAGTTCAGACTCGCTGTCTTGTTCCAAGACCTTACCGTTGCCAGTCGAGGGTTTCTCGGGCTCGGATGCCCGGATCTTTGCCAGGGCCACTGCAGCCAATTCCGAGCAATTATCACTTCCATTGGTCAGGATGTGTGACAACCACTCCCCAAATTTCTTTGAAACAGCCTCGCGGCACGGACGGTTAATGCAAGCCGCATTAAGAAGTTCCAACACGGGAACTTCCACCTTCTTGCTCTTGGTGTCTCGGGATGCCATTGGGAGCAGGAAGGCCATGAATTCTTCTGACAAGAAGAGATTGGCGGCTGCAGAGGGAGCCACGGGGAAGATGGCGGCCACCGCAGAGAAAGCAACGATGAGATCGCTGACACGCCCTTTGCCAAGAATGGACATAATCAGTGTCAAAAGCTTCTTCTCGCCCGTCTCCTTGGCGACCTCGAGATATTTCGCAGTAGCCAGGGTCGCCTGGCTCCGAACATCGAGCGGCAACCGGTTGTCCAAAGATGAGAGGATCACCTCCAGCCCTTCATCATCGATCAAATGTTCAAGTTCAACGGCGTGGACAGCGAGCAGTCGAGTAATTCCCTTTAAAGAGCGGCCATCGAGATCGTGGCCCGATTCCATCAACTTGGCAATGAAAAGCTGGAAGAGTTCACTCTCGCAGTGGGATCGTGTTTCCTCCGATGTCCACACGGTGGGGTCCAACACCACCGTATCCAGGCACACCGCTGCTCCATCACCCCGATCATATATCTCATCGAAGAATGCTGTGACCGAGGTCTGAAGCTGTGTAGAGAAGTACTGGCGAACACTGACGTTCTGCCGCACCAATCCAGATATGATCTCATCCTGTGTCGTCGATAGAGAGTGCGGGCGCTGTGCGAGCAATAATTTGAGGCATTCCAACGCCACGTTTTCCGGGGATTTCAGGCCATCGGTTCGGAGATAAGTAGCAGCTCCTTTGCCTGCATTTTCATCATTCTGTGTAGTGTATCGGCGGCAGAGATCGAGGAGCTGGTGGCCGTCTTTGTCTTCGTACTGAACCTTCAGGAAGGCAGCTTTCACTTGAGGGTTTTCGGGGGCGATTGAAAGGGCTTCTCTAAGATTCCTCGAAGCGGCCTATTGAATGAGCTCCATATCAGTATTGGGCTAGCTTCCTCCGGAGGGACGTTCAAGATATCGGTCACGTACCTCTCGGTGGCCCGCATCGACCAGTTCGACAGCCTCTCGGGCCAGGTGTACAGCGCGCTCTTCGCCCGTTGCTTGAACCATTGCAGGGTTGCGCGAGAGAAGAACAAAAACGTAAACTCCAGTTGTGGTTCAATGAAGTTAAAGTGGATGATGGGGAAGCTATTTTTTTTTTCTTCTGAATGAGGGGAGGGCGGAGCGGAGAGAGAAGTGCGATAAGGTGGCAACCGCTTTTTATGGGGAAAAGGGAAAAAGGAGGTCATGAAAGAAGGAAAACGTATCAACTATATATATACATATATATTATATATATATATCTCTCTTTTTTTATTTCGGTTTGCCGCGTTGGCCCGTTTGAATTCTTTTTAGATGACACCATATACCTTTTCCCCGGACCGATGGACATGTACATCATTGTAATATACCGGATCTTACACCTCCCACGTCCATTTCCTTCACGAATCGCCATTATCAATTGGCCCGATAAGACCAACCACAGCGATGAACGCCATCACGTTGTCGATAAGCACCTGGGCATATACTCAGCTTACATATGAGCTTACCTACCTAGGTAGTCCTTTGGTTATTTTTGTGTTACAACCTCGGAGGTCATGTTCCAAGGGCTCCGGGGCTGCTGGAGCCATTCCTATAGATACATAGTACAAGGCATTCCGCGCTGGAACCTACTAGAGGATATCCGCACATCACATGCAATAGTTTCATCTTGGCGCGTTCAAGGGATATGCCAAGAGATACAATGTCCTGTCTTTCAAATCGACCGAAAAAGGAAATCATCTCTCAACAAAAGATGCTCATAAATTCAAGGTAATTTCAGTCATCCAAGACTTCACGGTGTGGGGGGTGCAATCCGATTGGAGAGTTAGGTTCCAGTCTAAGTTCTGAATTGCTTGTGAGTCAGTCGATCCCGAAGAGTTAAATCAATGTTAGGATGCAAAACATAAGAAAACCAAGTGCGGATGTTGGTTGCAGATATACCCAAGTAGGTAGATTGGGAAAGACAGAAAGAGGAGCCCGGAGGTATAGCAGTTGTTATCACCCCGTGACTGGCTTATCGCTTCAATATCCTCAACATGCCGAGTGCTGGTAGATAGAGCTTGGACTTCAAATTTTGTATGCAGCACCTCGGGATTCCAGTCTAACAGGCCTGGCATCAGTCTGAGACATCCTCAGCTCACAATAATGCACACCAGCCTCGACTGATCCCCCATCTCAACATAATGAATTCTGTGGATGCTTCGGAGCATTATGAGTTAGGAGCTACGGGTCTGTATTCCCTGCTCTCTGCAACAGGCGAACAACTAGCTAACTAGATCACCATTTAGATCTCTCCCCAGCCCTGCTCACCATAGTCATCGACACAAACCCACATGCCTGGGCCATCCTCGAAGACTCCCTCCCACTCTCCAAAGCAATCGCCAACATCCTAGTCTTCATCAACGCCCACCTAGCCTGCAACTATGCGAACGAAGTTGCCGTAGTCGCATCGCACAGCCAAAAAGCAGCATGGCTCTACCCATCGCACAATGCACCCGGAAACGGCACTTCCGATCATGACGGCGACGTCGCAATGAACGGCGCAAGCGAGGCCCAACCCTCCAAAACGAACAAATATCGCCCCTTCCGCATCGTCGAAGAACAAGTCACCCGCAACCTCAAAGAGCTAATGGACTCAACCACCGGCGACGATCTGCGCGGCAATACGTCCACGATGCTGGCAGGCGCACTAACCCTCGCTCTGAGCCACACGAACCGACGCACGCTCGCCTGGGCGGAGGAGCACGGTGGTGCTAACGGCGCTGACACAGCGGCCGATGGCAACGGTAATGGCGGGGGTGGGAGCACAGCCACGAACCGATACTCAGCCTCGAACGAGGACGAGCGGCTGCAGAGTCGTATTTTGGTCATTTCTGTGAGCGGGTCTACCGACGCTGCACACCAATATATCCCTGTCATGAACAGCATATTCGCCTGTCAGCGCTTGAGCATCCCCATCGATGTGTGCAAGCTCAGTGGTGATGCGGTCTTCCTGCAACAGGCGTCTGATGCTACCAAGGGCGTTTATATGGCCCTTGCTGAGCCGCGAGGCCTGCTCCAGTACCTGATGATGGCGTTTTTACCGGATCAGCGCTCGCGTCGTCATTTGGTTCTTCCTACACGGGTGGATGTCGATTTCCGGGCTGCTTGCTTTTGTCATCGCCGGGTGGTTGATGTTGGCTTCGTGTGCTCCATTTGTCTCAGTATCTTCTGCGAGCCGCCCCCTGGCAATGACTGCATGACCTGTGGCACGCATCTGGATATTGAAGGTAATGCTAGGCCTGCTCTATTGCCGAGGAAAAAGAAGAAGAAGAAGCGTGTTAATGGAGCATCCGGGACGGGGACGCCCATGTCAACACCTACTCCAGGTCCTTGATATATCCTCCGCCGAAGGTCATATCATCAGGGGGAAACCCCATATTGTGGGACCTGACTCTCTCAACTGCAGGTTGGCATTACTCTGGAACACATATTGGCCTGGTGCTATGAGCCACACTACATGTACCTGGTTTACAAGGAGATAATTTAGGAAATCTCTCATTTCACTATCATCTCACTAGTGTGGAACGACTAGGTACACACAGGGAGGAATGTCGGGGGTTTTGAAACAAACTCTGGTCACGTTGGTGCGCGGTCTCAACAAAGGAGACTGTCCAGAGACAGAAACACAGCCATTTAAGCAATCGCTGGTTTAGTCATCCTGTCCTCATGTGAGTGAAACATCGGTGTTGAACGGCCAAGAAACACAACTGGAAACTGGGTATAGCATCGCAGAGATCGCAAAGGGGAGGGGCCGGACTGGGGCAGATACAGGTGGTTGAGGGCTAAATCCACCTTGTCCATTAATGGGTACCAACCGACCAAGAAGTCGGCAGACCCAAGAGGCTAGTTCTCATCCAGGGTGCATTGCAATTCTGATTAAATTATCCATGTCAGTACTCACGGCTTGTATATTCATTTTGGTAAAACTTACAGTAATCTGGAAACCTGATTCGGCAACCTCCCTGGGCAATGCTTCCTCGAGAGCCTCGCGACATTAGACAAGATGGTCTGTTCGAATTGCTGGACATGGAGGCAATGGCCTGTGAGATATGATTAGCAACTATCATTACATAGTGAACACTGAAAGACTCACGAAAGAGTCGGTGTTGTGAGCAAAGTAGAGTTCGATGCCGAAATTGTTTTTCTTCACGATGACCACTCCGAGGGCCCCAAAGAGAACGCTGTTACTGACGGCACTGTGCTCTAATAGACAAAAGCAAACAAGTGTTAGTGGTTGGGAAATTACAGAAGTGAAAGAAAGGGAAAAGAAAGGAAAACGCACCGTTAAACTCCTTTTTCATCCACACTTTGAGAGCCTCTTCCTCCGTCGTCTGGGTGAAAACGCCATTGTCACCCATCTTCTGACTGTAATAAATTCTTTGCGCGCAGGTGCTTGCCGCCAGTGTCGAGGCAATGAGCTCTCCGGTCCCAGATGTAACGACTCCACATGTGGTTCCATCTGGATCAGTCAGGTCTTGCGGAATAACATGGGTGCCAATGCCAATTAGGGCTGCAGGTCCGATTCGTCCTCGGTGCTTCATGCCAATGCCACCAGAAGAAGATCCTGCTGCGATATTTCCATACTTGTCAATGGCAATCGCGCCAACGGTGTCTGTGATCATATCCTCCTCGTCTTGTTCACTATCGCCGGCATCTAGGCTACCATCGCGAGATGGTGTCAAAGGTGAGACAGGCTGCACGGGTAGGTGCGAAGTTGAAAGCTTGGGCTTTTTCTGCGTTTGATGCTCTAGCGATACTCCGGGACGGCCCTTCACGTCTGCAAAGAGGGTTGGATCGGGTAGGGTTCTGATTTCCTCGTCAACTGCATGGCTAGCAGTACGGGATCCTGGTTGAGAAGCACGCTCGAGACGTTCAAGGCGAGCGTCAAGGGGAGTCATGGGCCGGCGAATCCAGGGATCAGCCACTTCGCCGCGGGTTTCATTTTCATAGTCATTGACTTCTGCTGCCCATACATTGTAACGCTCTAGCGCCACGGGCGAGATCAAGGCTTCCTCGGGCATGATCACCATTCCATGCTCCCATGCAAAGTCTTTGGCACCTTCTCCGACCAAGAAGTTCGGGGGCACCCTTGACATGCCCATCTGCACATTGGACTTGTCATAAATCTTCCGAGCAAGCATGATTGGATTCCTGATATCTAACAGGCTCACATGTTAGACAAAGAGGTTCTGAAAAAGAGACACAACAGACACAACAAACTTACTGGGCACAGCTCCAACCGCTCCACTTAGCCCGTGATGATCGACAATCGAGGCATCACCTTCCACCACCCCCTTTGCGTTCAAGTTGCTCCCAAACCCTGCGTTTGTAATCGGGTTATCTTCAAGCACCATCAGGGCTGCTTCGACGGCGTCAATGGCGGTGCCGCCACTCTTTAGGAATGCCATGGCCTTGAGCGCAGCTCTAATTCAATTCACTTGTTAGACTGTGTAACCACCAAATTTATCCAAGGCTGAGACTAACACTTCACAGGCCTTCAAATGCTTGTGCTCATTCTCATGGCTGTGGAAGCCCGCTCCGGCATGGATGAATATGGCACAAACGCCCTCATTTCCAGACATTTGCGACATATTAACTGGGTCGGCAAGTGTAAGTTTGGATCTACCACAGGATTGTGCACGATTGATCAAGGTATCAGGTTAGGGTTGCTCAAATCTCGACGCGCAAGGGAAGCGTTGCCGATTGGGGCCGGATATCAAAGGTGATATGTCGAATCGGGTACGTCCAGAATACGCAGGTTGTCACGAGACCAGGCCGAAGTGAAGTTATGGATTCGGCGCGTGAACTGACAACTCTGAACGCGTCTGTGATGCACTCACAGATTGTTGATGAAAATGCAGTAGCTCTTTGTGAGACCTGCACCTCAAATTGGAATGAGTGACTGTCTGGATTTTAGGCTAAAGAACCACTGGGAAACCAATGCTCTAATGCTATGGCCGACTTTGGCACGGGGAGTGAAGCGAGCGAAGACAACGACGAGACCATCCGTGTCGAGGTGAGAAAAGAATACAGAAAACGGAGGGCAGCAGTGTCTGCGCGCGCCCCGCGCATCAGAAATGATAATTCTGGAATAATAAAGAACCGAGGAAGAATAAGAGTCTTAGGGATTGAAGATGTGCGAATGGACAATAGGAAAATATTGGAAATTTATGGGAGTTCTCATAACACTGGTCGTTCTTGCCATTTTGGTCAAGTTTCACTTTTCAGCTGAAATTAGGTGAGAATGATAAGCATTGAGGTAGTATACCTTCAGTGGTTGCTTGTTTCTTTTTTCTTATTTAAGAAGAGAAACCCTGGGGATATTGGGGATATTGGGGATATTTTGATACTTCCCGGCACATGATGTCCACCGGTTGACGTGTGACTCCTTAGGTAATCGGACCTTCGGGGGCACTGCATTTCCCCCCGCCTTGTCTGCCTGTCCTCTTGGTCTCTTGAAGTCAGGGCGATTTCGGCTACCAATTGACATTCAGCCGATTCTCTCATTATTGCCTCGTTCTACATATCGCCTAGGTTTCTTTCAACTCCTTACTACATTGTGATTGTGCCTAGGCCCAACCACCCGCCATGGCGTCCCAAACACCAGCCGTTGTCATGGACAAGTAAGTTCACAGCTGCAAGGATCACAAGAATATTCGGTGCTAACTCTATACTTTTTTTTAGTGGAACTGGCTATTCCAAGCTTGGTATGTGCTGTCTGTAGTGGTTAGGGAGCTCGCGATCACAGATTAGGCTGACATGCTACCTCCACTATTCCAGGTTTCGCCGGTAACGACTCCCCCTCATTTGTATTTCCGACCGCAATTGCAACCAAGGCTGGTGCTGGAAGTACTGGAAGCTCCGGGGGCCGACCCCCAGTCGCAAACAAGCCCTCATTCCTAGGTGCTGGCAGTGGTAGCTCCAACCTGTCCGCGAAGCGTGGCACGGAGGACCTGGATTTCTTTATCGGCGATGAAGCGCTGGCTGCGGGCAGTGGCCCGGGATATGGTGTTAACTACCCGATCCGTCATGGACAGATTGAGAATTGGGACCATATGGAACGATTCTGGTCGAACTCGATCTTCAAATACCTGCGCGTGGAGCCCGAGGACCACTACTTCCTACTCACCGAACCTGTAAGGCGACTATGCATGCTGCCAATAGGCTGCGCTTAACATGATGAGACCTGACATTTCTGAAATATAGCCTCTCAACCCTCCCGAGAACCGCGAGAACACCGCCGAAATCATGTTTGAGTCGTTCAACTGTGCCGGTCTTTACATTGCTGTTCAAGCAGTGCTCGCCCTTGCTGCCTCGTGGACATCCTCAAAGGTGACGGATCGATCTTTGACTGGAACGGTCATCGACTCCGGTGACGGTGTTACCCACGTTATCCCCGTCGCCGAGGGTTACGTCATCGGGTCCTCTATCAAAAGTATCCCGGTTGCCGGACGAGACATCACATATTTCGTGCAAAGCTTGCTACGTGACCGTGGAGAGCCCGACAGCAGCTTGAAGACAGCAGAGAAAGTGAAGGAGGAGTACTGTTACGTCAGCCCCGATATTGTCAAGGAGTTCGCACGTTACGATCGCGAGCCAGATCGCTTCCTCAAGCACACCGTCACTGCCCCGAACGGGCGGAGTATAAACATCGATATTGGATACGAGCGTTTCCTCGCCCCGGAGATCTTCTTCAACCCCGAAATCTACTCGTCCGACTTCCTCACCCCGCTTCCCAATGTTGTTGATGGCGTCATCCAGTCCTCCCCCATTGACGTCCGGAGAGGTCTCTATAAGAACATTGTGCTCTCTGGTGGCTCTACTCTGTACAAAGACTTTGGCCGTCGTCTACAGCGTGACATTCGTCACTTAGTGGATGCACGAATTCGTGCCTCCGAGGCTCGTAGCGGTGGCGCACGGAGTGGTGGTCTTGATGTCGCTGTTGTCACCCACAAGCGCCAGCGCCACGGTCCCTGGTTCGGAGGTAGTCTGCTGGGCCAGACGCCTGAGTTCCGAAGCTACTGCCACACTAAGGCTGAGTATGACGAGATAGGTCCCAGCATTGTGCGGCGGTTTGCGCTGCTTGGTGGCCCGGGAAGCTCGTAGGGGGAAAATGAGTGGACCTTATCATTAGATACTTGTCAATCGATGTAGCTCAGCCTTTTGTTCATAGTTTGTTTATCTCTTTTCTTTTTTTTTTCCTTCCTCGGGTGGTGCTCTCTACTTTATTTTTACACAAAAACGGCTTGGCGCCGGTGTTCATCGGCATTTACAACAGTGGACTCAAAGCCAATTTATATCGTAGGCCTAATTGACAGTCTATAGCATGAATATCTTGAGGCAAAAAAATGAAAATGAAAACGTATTAAACAGTGTACATATCCACCATTGCCATCATGCTTTTTGAAATCTTCCTCCCAGAACGCCATGAAGTATGCAATATCAGGCAAATATATAGTCCACAAAAGGTTCAAGAATATTACTTTTCAGACATCCCATCACTCAGACAGTCTCAGTCTGAGGGAATGTGGTACGGTTCAAAATAGCCACACCCTCCACATGACCGGTCTGAGGGAAGAAATCAAAGCCACGGACGCTCTCAATCTCATAGCGAACATTCTGCTTCTCGTCACCCTGCACCATAACAGCAACGTCACGAGCCTGGGTATGGACGTTACAGCTGACATAGACAACACGGCGCGGCTTGAACTCAAGCATTTGGCGCAGGAAGTCCTCCGAACAACCCTTGCGAGGCGGGTCAATAACCAACAATGTCTGATCCGATGGGTACGGAACGTCCTTGAAGAGAGTAGCGGCATCGGCAGCAGCGAAGCCTGTGTTGGGAAGATTATTGGCACGAGCATTCTCGCGTGCTGAAACGATAGAATCGCCTCCAATATCGACACCGAGACTGGACTTGAACAATGGAGAGAGGGTAATTGTGAACAGGCCCGAGCCGGAATACGCGTCCAATAGGTACTTGATTGGCTTTGCGTCTTGGTCGTTGCCTGCGGGAATGGCTTGCGAGCGGATGTACTCTGTGAAGCCAGACAAAATTGAGTTGTTGTTTTGGAAGAAGGCACCTGCTTTGTTGCTGAAGATATAGTCGTCGACGTACTCGAAGGATGTGGCGTTGTTGTCTGTGACGCAACGCTTCTCTTCGATGTAGTTTTCGCGCTCAATGCGGATAACATCGCCCGTGTCTGCGTTGGGGGTGGCGGCAATCCCGCCGACAGTGGGAGTCTCTCCCTCGGAGGTAGGCGCGGCGTCTTTGGGGATACGTGCGGTGGATTCTCGCATCAGGAGAGTGGCACCCCGCTTGTAAGAACGGATGTTCTCCGCAACTCGTTTCCTCTCACTGGTGAGTCCGCGACGCACAATGTCCGTTCCCAGGGGACAGTCTTCAATGTCCATATCCAGTCGTCGGTTCTTGTATGTGAATCCAATCGGGGGGACCTTCGGTTCTTCGCCGTCCTTAGAGCCTTTGCCGGCGCCACCATGTGCGAAATGCGGCGTGAGTTTTGTGCGATATCCAAATTGCATGGGCGAAGCAAAGGTTTCTCCAATGGTAGGAACAAGCTCCGGGATCAACCCAGAGAAATTGGCATAGGCTTTCTCCACAATGCGCCGTTTGTGAGCAAGCTGGTCATCATAGGACATCATCTGAAGCTGACACCCAGAACACTCGCCGAAGTATTTGCATCCAATCAGCGCATCGTTTCTCTGGGGTCCCGGTTCGATCACTTTGACAAAATCGGTCAAACTGTATGACAATGGCTCGAAATGCTTGACCAATTTGACTCGCACGGTATCTCCGGGGACCGTGAACGGAACAACATAGACATATTTCCCATTTTCAGCAAGCGCCAGACCATCGCCTGTTGAGGAAAGCTCCACAATCTTGACATCAATCTCGGTGAATTTCTCGGGAAGGGACAGAGGCTCGCTGTCGTTGTCCTGTTCGGTCTCGTTGCGTTTGAGAAGTCGGTTGATATCGCAAAGCAGGACTTCATCATGCCCACTGCTCTTGTTGTTCTTGTCGACCTTCGCCTTCTTGCGCTTGCCGTCGAAGTGTTTCTTAGGAGCGTTCTGCATTACTGCGGGGACTGGCGCATTCGTTGAACGGCGTTGATAATATAATCTGGAGGCTGGGCGCACTTGAAGAGCCGTTAGTGTCTGAGAAGACAAAGAAGAAGTCAAGCGCCTAACAGATGACCGTATTGCAAACATATAAGTTGGAAAGCGACAGCGAAATAATTTCTGGAACGAAAATCATCAAATGGGAAATTTATTAGAAACGCATCTAACGCGTCGTTAATTGGTTGGAGACTGACCGCCCGCAAGAAAGAAATTCATCCCGACGCTTCACCTCCGACTGGCCTCTTTTGCCTTTGCGTCCCCCCCAATTGTCTCCGCATTTCGCCTTTCTCTTTATTTTTAAAGCTCTTAACCGGCCTGTTGTTGGCTGGGAGCTTATTGCACCGTCACCATGAACATAACACGGCCAGCACGATGCCTTTTATGCAGCTTCACCCGTGCTGCCGGCCCAAGCACGCGAGTCCCTCGACGCCAATTCCATCCTACCCCTGCGCCTCTCTCGAACCGGAAACCCAAGTTCCCCAATGTTAAGGCTCCTCGGGTGGATGATTACAAGCCTTACACGGAAGAGCAGAAGGCCAAGCTCGCCAAGGAGTACTCGGAGGCACAGATGGCCGCCATCGAAGCCGGCGAAGCCGCTATCGACCCCAAGGATCTGGCTGAACAGATGAACGAACGCAGTGATCCTATGTCATTCAAATACATCGACGACTTCTCGGTGATTGAGCCCGGCATTGATCGACACCAGCGCGCCCCGGAGTCGAACTCGGATTACAATTTCAAGCTGAAGAGCGAGGACGACTTCGTGAAGGACTTCGGTCAGTTCTTCGCTGAGATGCCTGACAACACGACAGGTGCAGACTTCGTTAGGTTCGCAGACAACCTGCGCCTCACCCACGGCAAAGAGGAGAGCGAGCTGGCCCCGCACAGCGCACTTGTTCCGGATCTCTTCGGACCTGGTGAGACCGTAGATGAGCCCCGCGTGGAAGAGCAGAAGACAGCCGCCGAGAAGGGCGAGAAGGAGCGATCAGCGGAGGCCGAGGAAATGACAGATGCCCTGAAGAGCTTGCTCCTGGCTACGGGCTACACGGAGAGCCAGGTCAAGGGCCTCCGCACTAAGACTCTTGTTTCACACAGCGTCACCAACCAGACTCGACTAGGAAAGGTCCGCCGTGCATACCGTCTTTCCATTGCCGGTAACGCAAATGGTCTTCTCGGTATCGGTGAGGCCAAGTCCGATGAAGCATCCGACGCGAAGATCCAGTCGCAATACCGTGCCATCCGCAACATGCAGCCCATTCCCCGCTACGAGAACCGAACCATTTATGGCGATGTTAGGGGCAAGGTCGGAGCGACAGAGTTGCAGCTGATGCACCGTCCACCAGGTATGTCTCGATTCATCACCCCAGGCGTGTTCATTTTTTGCTAACAATAATAGGCTTCGGACTCCGTGTCCAATACCTCATTTACGAGATGTGCCGTGCTGGCGGAATTCACGATCTGTCCGCCCGAGTTGGTCGCTCAAGAAACCAGATGAACACAGTCAAGGCCGCCTACGAGGCACTCATGAGCCAGCGTAACCCTGAGCAGATTGCTCACGCACTCGGCAGGAAGATTGTCGATGTGCGCAAGGTGTACTACGCAGGTAAGATTTAGGGCCCACCAGAGCCTTGACTTGCTGTTTCGTCCCAGCGTGTATATAATGCTTCTCTTTTCCTCTTCTTCTTGTGTCTTTTGCATGTACTTCTATAAGTTGGTTGTTAAACATGACGGGTCATCAATTCTCCAATCCTCCAGTATTCTGGGCTATTCACAGCATATCTGGAAAATCATATATCAACAAGGTTCTTTTGCATAAACACCATCTGATTCGCGCCAACCCCCAAACTTGGAAACAACACCCCGGGTATAATACGCGAGTATAAAAACAAAACAAAAAAAGACCTATCAAACGTAACAGACAATATTCAAATGTTTCATGCCATCTTCCTTTATTGGAACGTCATGTCTCCCTCCCCCTCATATCCTCCATGTTGATACTCGTGGTCCCGGAAATGCCGATCCTCATTTTGCTGATGTTGCTGTTGCTCTTCATTCTCATTCCAGATCTGCTGCTGCAATACAATGCTATACACACTGGCCTTGAGCAAGGTGCATACAGTTGCAGTCTTGCGTTCAAGTAGACGAAGGCCATCTAGCGGCATGGAGGCGGGGGAGCCGGCGAGGTCGGCGAGTTTGTCGGAGAGCTGTGTGCGAGGCATTGATCAGTAACCAGTATAATAAATATCCGTAGCCCATTTAATATCCAATGGGACATTGTTTATATCCCTTTCCGACGAAGAATCTAGATTATCCCAGAAAGAAAGGATCAAGGCCAACGAGGTCTTCTCGCACACGTACCTGGTTGACATTCCGCAGCAATCTAGCGTATTCTTCCAGCACTTCCTGCTCTAAATCTGACACGAGGGGATTGTCGGATCCCAGGAGGGGGTTATTCGAGTGGCCTCGGCCGTGCGAGGCATCTGTGTCGCCCATTGATTGTGGGATTTGAGGGGTGGAGGTTTCCGCGGGGTCGACCTCAGCGTACGAGTAATCGTTGTCTAAGTCTTCGGGCGCGAAGGCGGACATCGTGGAAAGGATCCTTGGGTTTGTTTGTGGTTTTCTTGAAAATGGGTGTTGAGTTGTGCAAAGCCGTGAGGGCTGCACTGAGGGCTGCACGTGTGTTTTCGTGTTGTGTGTTCTGCGGCTCTGCTGGAACGCGTTCCCCAAGCTCCAGCTTCCGCTGAGATCCGGTATCTACTAGGTGGGTTTTATTCTTCAGAACTTATTTCAACGTCAGTCCATAGGTTGCTATTGTATCCCTGAGGTTATGGCTTTCTCTCCATGGTCTTATTTTCAAAAAAATCACGGGAAAAAGCATGCTTGATGTTTATTAAGAACATCACTAACACAAGTGTCATAAAAAAACGCATGTACTATCAATATATAACATTTAACTCCTTCGATAACTATTCTAACACTACTCCGTATAAAGAATGGTCCTATACTATATCCTATGAATACCTCATCTGAGGTTTTACTTTTTTATTTTTTTCATTAAAAAGAATTGTCCGACCGACTATAATAAGAACAGTCTCAGTTCCATCCTAAGTAAGGATATTACGTAGCTGGCTTAATAGCAAGTCCACTTACTATTTTTGAACAGAAATACTATAACTGCAAATTATTCTAGGAATAAAGTCGAGACATTGAACAATGTATTGGATCTTTCGTATTCGTACAGGGTACTCCATACTTGTACGGAGTAGAGAGCAGCCATTTAATAACATCGAATATAGAATTTAAATCTAGCTGCCTTGTGAGCGAAGAACGAACCACACCAGCCTCGGACAAACCGTGTGGCCTTGGTTGTATCGACGAAAGCGCTAGCGTTACTCTCCCAGCCGCGGCAGCATCTCCGCGCGTTCTACGGAGTACTCCGTACCTTAGATGAGGGTCTCAGCGAAAACTCAACTCTCGGGGGACCCCTTTGCGCAATTATTACTACAGACCGCAAACTATATTGCATGTTGCATGTGGTGCGCTATTTGTTCCTATTGCATCCCGCATATTGACAACCAAGAGAGAAAAAGAATCCTATAAAATCTGTATTGAATATCAAAGGGATAGAGATAGCTCCACTATGTTGTAAAGGCGCAAGTTCCATGCGGCAATTGTATATTGAGCAGCCAGTAATGTAGAATCTTTTAGAAGGCCAGCGAATGATCGACTTGTTCCTGAAACACAAATATTCTCTTGCGAGTAATGATTATCATGTTGCATCCTACAACATAACTGGTGTGTGGTGCATATGTTGGAGGCCTGAGAACTATCGACACAGAAACAATATGTTACAGTGTGGGCACTAGCTGGGATTGTATTGGCTGTAGATATCCACAACTGAACTAAGGACTGAAGCAGACGGGAGTCCGTCGCAGTTCCTTTTTCTTTCCCGCTACGGAATACTATCAACGATAACCCCATGGAGAGAGGGCTTGGCCATATATTGGCAGAGCATTCCCACAGGATAATCAAATTAGTTGAAGCTTGAGGGACAAAGCTCGCAAGTCGGCCCTAGCGATCCAATTATCGACTACAATATAGGATGCGAGCCTTTCTCAAATATCGACCGGGGCTAGTCAAACGCTCGGGTGGACCAAGTTTGCAACTTATATTTCTACTTGAGGCGAAGGTTTAAATTGATATTTTTTGAGATCATTTCCCCAATTGACTGGTATGAGCTAATTTCATTTCGAGTCAAAAAATCACAGATCCTTCAAAACGACATACTCCGTATGTTGTATGTTGTACAGTAGATATGATTATTACGTGTGAATGTGAAATTCCATATGAGCTCAGAAATAATTTGTCTCATTCCAGACCCAGAATTTCCCATTTAGAAGTGGATATTCTTTATCGCAATTGTCTCGCGGTCTCCCCATCCCGTACAGACTACTCCGTACTCGTACAAGATACATAGCACCACCATAGTAGTTCCCCTGTAAAGCCCAATGCCAAAAGTCTATTTGGAGGCGACAAACTCCAGAAAATGTCTTGCCCCGCGAAATGGGCAGGTCGTTTACCGCGGCGTCCAAGTCGAGCCACCTGCGCCTCTACTTTATTTTACATGGAAGCCTACTTCTACATATATTGTAGTTATATAGTTTTTAACATCGTTACATCGAGTAAATGATTTTAAAATTCCAATTTAACTAATATAGCCCTGTTTGAATTTGCGCCCCAATAACGGATTAACTCTAGGGTAGGAAATGAGCCTTGGCTTTGCGTTTTCCACATCACGATCATGTCCCTCTGGAATAATGGCCTTCGCCCGTTATAGCATACTGTGGATCATGACAACATGACCCAGAAAGGAGAGAAAGACAGAATGCAAGTGGACAAGTGGCGACTCCCTTACGCAGAAAGAAGAAATAAAAGCGAATACGTAAGAGTCCTTA